GTCACAATGACTGTGTCATTTAACCTTTGTGAGTACATTTTTCAACTGTAAAAAAATGAATAATAAATTTACCTATTGGGTGATTGTAAAGATTTTAAAAAGTGCCTATCCCATGCTTGTCATAGAATTAGTGCTCATAAATATTAGTTTCCTTTTATTCTTTCTATCCATTTTACATTGAAATACAGTACTTGGATATGGGGGTTAATAAGTAACTGCTATTGGATGAATGAAAGAAAGAAGGGCAAGGCCAGTTCTGGCAAACTGAAAATGGGTTTCTGATAGAATGGGAGAAACATCGACTTCATGCTCCCATGCCCTGTCCATTCTTGCTTCAGAACCTCATGTATGTTGTTCTCTGTACTGGAAATGCCATATCATGTTTTGACTGTTTACTGAACCACTTTAATACTCTGCTTAGATGTCACATATTCTGAAAAATCATTTTCTTACCAGTCCTTGTTAACTTTTTCCTTCTTTGTATTATTTCTACAGTTTACACGTATCTCATTGTATTGTAAATAGGTTAGCAAGATCCATGTTGCTCCTCCTATGGCTGTCACCTCCTGGAGGGTGGGGATGAGTGACTTCTATACCTCAGTAACTCCAGCCCCTAGCCCTGCCCCATGTGTGACACGTGCCAGGCACTCACTACATGATTGAGATGAACTCATGGGTCAGGACTGAGACTTGCTTTCTGATCAGCAACTTCCATCTAAATATATAAAATGTGAGATGAGATAGAGGATAAGAACCCTTGTGAACTGTGTAAGCTTAGTGAAGTTACACAATCTCTCTCAGTTTCCTTATCTGGAAAATGGAAACAATCATAGTATTGGCATCTAGAATTTCGGGGGTAAATAAATTAGTACATGGGAAATTTTTGAACCAAGACTGGCCCATAATAAGAAGTGCTCAGTAACTGTTAGCTACTATTGTATATTAGAAACAGTATTTTAAGAACTCTGGCTTTAGAGTCAGACATGTTGAGTTGGAGTCTTGGGTCTCTCTCTTCCTGGCTATGTGTCCGTGGTTGAGTTGACAGCTTGAGTCTATTTCCTCACTTCCAAAATGGAAATAACACTGGTATCAATCTCATGGGGTTAAAGAAGGAAGTTAATGAGACATTACCAGTATGTCCTTCTAATGAGTATTGTTGCTGGTATTGTTTTATGCTTTAAATTTTTTTAAATTAAAAAATTTATTTTTTAAAAATAAATGGTGCTTTAAATTTTTCAAAGCAATTATAAGTAAATACATTTCTTGTGCTTCTCACAGTAATTCTGTGAGCTAGGACAGATGGTTTTCTGAGGGTTTCACAGGTGACATGACTGATGTACACATTGAGTGACTTGCCTAAGTTCCGCAGTTACTTAGCAGCGGAGCCAGGGGCAGGATGCACATTTCCTATCTCCCAGTTCCACGTTCTTTCCACGACCACGCAAGTCATTCCAATGGAAAGCTGTTCCTGAGACTTGACTTAGAAGTACAGGGGGGGAGTGTAAGATTAAGGTCTGACAGATGCCCAGTGACTCAGGCGGCATCTGGGGGAATATTTCCTGTTGGTGAATCGGTGGATTGCTGTGTCTTTGGGGGTACCGTTGAAAACACACCCACTTCATCTACACATGGCCATAATGGAGGAGGACAAATTAGGAAGGGTTCCCTCAATCTGGCTCTGGACTATAGTGTCACCCCCAAGCTTTGCTATTAGGCCTACTAATAGGGCCCACTCCCTGACATCTAAGTGGAGTATTAAAGTGGTTCAGTAAACAGTCAAAGCATGATATGGCATTTCCAGTACAGAGAACAACATACGTGAGGTTCTGAAGCAAGAATGGACATGGCATGGGAACATGAAGTCGATGTTTCTCTCATTCTATCAGAAACCCATTTTCAGTTTGCCAGAACTGGCCTCTCTTGAGACCCACAGGCAGTCAGCAGAGGGACTAAAAAAGCATGCATCCACAGTGCAGGAAGGAGGGTATGAGGGGAGATTTAGGCAGTTGCCCTGCTGGTTTGAAGGAAGGACAATCGTGGTCCCCACTTTGTCAGTGATTGTGTTAGGGTCAACTTTCAGTATAACGGGCCCTAGAGTGTTGAAAAGAAATACATTGGAGATAGTTGGCTGATTTCATTGGGTACTCAGCTAAAAGAATGTTAGCTTCATCCTTGTTCGGCCTGACTGCTGTTGCACATGTCACATGCTGGTTGCATAATAAGTGTTGATAGGGTGGAGTTAATTATGAGATCAATGAGAGTTTTAAAGATGTTGTGTTTCCCCCCAGTACAGAGTAAAGACAGGGGCCAGACGTCAAGGATTTAAGAAGCAGATGGGTTCTTACTGCCCACCCACCTACATACACCCTGCTACTTTGATGCTCATTTGTGTCTTTCTCTTTCTTCTTCGAATTCTTCTTCCTCCTCTGGACAAGAAGGTGTGGATGTCTGTCCACGTCCAGCTTTTTAAATGTCAGGCACTGTTTCACTTGGATCATTTCAGTGAAGGCTTGGGAAGCTGTGGCTCTCTTTCCCCCTCGGTCACCTGCCATCCACCAGCGTAACCTGATGGCTCCTACCAAGCAGCCGGCCATGCAGTATTTTAGTGCAGGGTTCTTAGAACCAACAAACGGTTGAAAACATGGCTAGTCAGCTTTTAAGTAGCTTTTAGTGTCAGCTGGAACAGGGACCGAGTTGATAATGACCATCTCCGGCCCTGGGGCAGAAGGAAATTGCAACTGAAAATACCTCGCTCAGTACCTGGCACAGGGCAGGTCAGTGCTGATACATGGTGGTGGGGATGGCTGCCTAAGGTCCGATCTCTAAGACCTTCCCCTCCTGTTCCGGTCTAGGAGTCTCGGATGTTTTTTTTTCCTGGTGCATCCTTTATTCGAATAGCTGCTCTCTGCTCTTAATTCCGAGATTTTCAGCAAATTCCTCCCACTCCCTGGATCTCAGACTCTAAATCTATGTGCTAAGGGTGTGGGACTTGTTAGGGGATTTTATGTGGAGTCCACAGATAGCCTGCAAGGGGGGGCCTGTGAATCCCTAAGACCATGACCAATTTGTTCATGTGTGTGTTGTGGGGAGCACTCTTGGCTCCGCTTAGTGAAGAACCATTGTCTGCCGGAACTCTCGGATGCCTCCAAGTGTTCTCTGACACCAGCTACTCAGTGTCCCCAAGTCTGGTAAACATGCTCCTGGGGGTTCACAAAATGATTGTAGGTGGTGCACGGGTACGGCTGTTATGTCACTCGTTATGTGATTATTTTAATGTTAAAAAACCCACTAAAATGGACATTTCCTGATTATCGTTTCTTTGGAGGAGGCTAAGTCTTGCTTTTAAAAAAGGTGACTTAAATGGGTCATATCACAGAGGTAGGTTAATGCCTAAGTTTGAGCAACAGGGATCTCGCCCAACCCCCACCTGGTACCGAGAGAGGAGGAGTCTCAGAGGAGCAGAGAAAAGGCCATAAGGAAGTTGATGAGTAAACTCCGGACAATAACTCACTCGTCCTTCTAGCTATCCTGATATCACAGTTCTCTAGAAGTTGGAGAAGTTTCTGATCCTCTCTCAGGTCTCCTCCAAGAACACCGTCGCAGTCAGGCCAGGAATCCTGCCCAGAGAGTTGCCATCAGGGGCCAGTTTATGGGCAATGCTTGAGGAGAGGCTGTGATCGCGGAGGACAAACACTGAGAACAGAGTCCTGTCTTCATCCACATGCTTCTTCAGGTTTGAGAAGTACTTTTCATATCTCAGCGTTTCTGAGATTGGGCTGCATTTTACAAAATGGTGCTCCCTTAAATGCTAGATAGCTATTACCTTGCCAAGAAGCTGTTATTTAAATGGATAGTAGCTTAGAATGGAAATAGGGTTCTTAGACTATTTTTCCCCTCCTCCCAAGCAAATTACACTTGCAAGTTGGGACTTTACTAATAAACACAGTAATCAAAAGAGAATTTCTCTTTAAAAGAAAAATGCTCATCTCATTTCCTGTTGACGATTTGGAAGTTAAAGGGAATGAATCATGGTGACAGGTCTGGAGACCCTAAGCCCGGGCCCCGCTTCCTGGGCACCTCCCACCTTCTCTCCGAGACTCCCCTTCACATTTATAAATCCTTTGAATTCATTGAGTCTCCTGCTCAGAGGTGTAAGTTCCTTCTGGAACTTACAAGTCTGAATTTTAAACGTCGGGGGAAGGATGAAGCCGACTGCACAGGTTCAGGTAGACTTCACGATATTGTGAAAGCTTCCTGACTCCCCCATATTCTGTTTTTGTGACAAGAGAGCTGTTTGGTGTATTCGTCCAGATGGTGAGCTTGCGGGGGCCGGGGGGGGCGGTTAGAAACCCTTGATGAGACTTCACAAATCAGTGTGTGTATTGGCCATTTCCGTTCTAGCTGCAGTGGAGATTGATGGATTGTGACTTGTGACTTTTGGTTACCCAACCCAGGAAGAGGGGAGGGGGCTGCTAAGGAGACCCGCCCCAAAGGAACAGACCAGCCTTTCTCAGGGAGCCAGGGGTGGTGCCATTGCTTCACTTAGAATGCCAGATAATAAACAACCAGGACTCAGCCTTTAGAAGTCAATGGAATAAATAAGCTGGAAAAGGTTGAAGAGAAAAAGCCAATGAACGTGTAAGTGGAGGATTATATGGAGCCATTTAAAATGACAAAAAGCAAGAGTAACAAAGCAGCAGATGGAATTTGGCCCCACATGGCCTTGCCAAGCTAACTCTGAGAAGCACTGTGTAGAAAGTGTTCTGTTTATGTCCCCTGAAGCATTCATGGGGTTTCCTGGCCAAATTCTCAGGCTGTTTCTATGGCACTTCCAGAAAAAAGAGTATAGCAGTGTTGATGTGTCCCCTCCCTTCTCATTCTGCATCCCCTTCGCTGCCTCGTGACATAAATCTCTGCTTCAAATGAGACTGTTAATAAAAAGTGTGGCAGGGGAGGGAGATGCTGTGATTTTTTTCCACACACAAAAAGGAGAAAATCTGTAAGAGTAAACGGTGTTTATTTTTTTGATTTTTTTCAATCAAATGGAATTGCTTAATTAAAAAAAAAACTTATCTCTTTTCTCTTTAAATACTACAGACAACCTCATTTTATCTCAGCAGACACCTAGCAACAAAACACTGGACCCACCAGAGAAAACCGGGCAAGAAAAGCATCAGAAATTCAAGTCAACTATGGAGAATTAGTGTTAGCTGGCAGCTCTCAATTCTAAACAGAAATGTCTCAGAACCTATTGGGTTTGACAAAAGTTTCTTAGAACTGGGGATCTGGGAAAGTTGGACTCCTTTTAATTCTATTCCAATTGTTTTCTGCGTAGGGAAATTAATGTCAATGCATCAAATGAAGACCCAAAGAAACATTTAAAAACATGTCAGACTAGTATTCAGTATGTGAGATTATTAAGTAATAACTTGTCCTCCTAGTTAACCTTGTCCTGGAATATATATAGGTTATTTGTAGCCGCCACCGCTATAATATTTTCTGAGGGGTGCCAAGCCGTATGCAAGATCTTTTTGCTAAAGTCCAGACTGTCGACACTGATCTCGTCTTTTCTCCGCTTGCCCCCTACGCACACTTTCCGCGGTTTTAGGATAGCCCGGGGTTTGCTGTTTTCCCTCGAGGCCTCCAGGGTGACGTCACGCTTGGTGTTTCTGTCGAACATCCTGAAGAAGTTGTTGTAGGAGCCTGTCATGATGACGCTGCAAGGTAGAGAGGAAATAGGGAGTCACTGAGGACTCTGGAGAAAGGCAGGAGCATATCCCCATTGTGTCTTTCTGGAGCCAATGACACCACGTCGTGGCCAGCTTATGGCACCATCTGTTTCACTAAAAACCAAAAACCCAAACAGACTTGGTGGCGCGACCATGGTCTCGGTTTTGAAGGCTGGTTGGGAAATGAAGGATCATGATACTCCTCCTTGTTACTTACTTCTGTGGATAGATCCCTTTTGGTTCTTTGGCTCAGGGAGCGAGTCCTGTGGTTTTAATGATCCCAGCCTTACGTCCCTTAGGATTGCGAGGCTGGAGAGAGGTCAGGACAGGAGGAACACTTTTGAGAACACTGGTTATGCACACGGAAAGTGTGGTTGCAGGAGTGGGGCTGTGTGGCCGGACGTCTAAGGCTTTCTGCAGCCAGCACAGTGGGAGAAACGCTGAGGACAGAATAGCGCACTGAGCCTGGTGGGTCCTCCCCCTGCTAAGAACCAGCTCTCAATTCAGCCTTGCCAGCAAACTTACCTAAAAAACAGATGTCATCGTGGTCTCCCTCAGGAAGAGAGTAAACAAATTCAAATTTTAAAAGAATTTGGGAAAAAAAAAAATAAAAGAATTTGGGAGGGGAAAGACTTGCTAGTGGATTGACAGATGGCGTCCACCTTTTTGTAAGAGTTCTCTACCCTCAGATAGATTTACTACAGACTGAGGGCAGTGACTGCCAAAGCCTTCCAGAAGCAAGGGAACGACTCTTTACCGGTGACAGTTTGCACATACGGACAGGCTGGGGCGGGTGGGGGGGTGGTGGTGGTGGAAATCACGCTGCCTCAGTAACATCCCACGGGTGCTGCCCCTGGAATGCGGGGGCTTGGCCTCGTTGGTGGGTGAAGCCCTGACTGGCTGGTGAGGATGGGAGAGGACAGCACCTCCTCACTGTTCATGAGGCACGAGTGCGCAGACAGGTGCGGGGGAAACTGACAGCATGGGGCCACAGCCAGGGGACAGGGTCGTGGGGTCATCTGTGCCAGGCAAATCAGTCAAGGGCTTGCTTGTGTAACTCTGGCCCGGGAAACAGACGCGGTGAATGTGTTTGTCTCTGTAGTGGAAGAAGCTGTTGCTACTTTATCAGGTAGGGTGCTGAGCGTTCGACTCCCCTGCGATCTCACCTGGACTTCCGTTATCCCAGATAGGGGCTTTACACCTGAGGAGAAGTGAGGAACTCGCTCAACTGTGGCAAAATGGCCAAGTCAGGCCTCCAACCCCCATGTGCCTGACCCGAGGGTCTAGCACTCCCCCACTGGCCTCACTGCTTCCCATGAACCAACAAGGCTTCCTCCACCATGACTCAGCTTGGTTTTAAACCGAGAAAGTCCTTGTGTTTTGGTTTTTGTTGGTTGGTTTGGAAAAATAAAAAAAAAAAAACCTCTCAACCTTATTTGAATTGAGAATTTTCTTGGTTATGGAAAGAAGTGAAGTTATGAAAAGAATGTCAATCTTAGGATTCAAACTCAAACCTTCCTACTCTTGTCTCTACTACGTACTAGCTCATGAGCTGGGGCAGGTCGCTTTATCTTGCCGAGCCTCAGTTTACTCAGCTATAAAACGGAGATGACGACAACAACCTTGTCATCTTGTGGTCAAGATTCTATAACAGGATGTGTGCGAAGGTGACTAATACGTACTTTGTGAGTCTAGGTTAAGGTAAGTTCTTAGGACAATAACAACAAATAGAATTTATTAATATAAACTACAAATAAAAATTAGAAACACAGGGTCGGGGCCGGTTACTTTCCCCCTTAGGAGCTGCAGTTCGTACATCACAGCTGCTCTGTCGTCCCTTGCCTCCGCCCTATAGCAACGGAGTGGGGTGGCTTGGGGCCTCTGTCATGTGGGGATTTTTTCCAGGTCTCCTAAGTGGAAGCCACATTTTGGTTCATTGGCAAAGAAAGCCAAAGAATGGCCAGAAACCGCTTGTTTTTACTACAAGTTCCAATCCCTGAATGCCTTGCCCTGACAGAAGGTAGTGCCTGCAAGCACTATTGGTGCCGTGTTCCTGAAAACACTAAATCAGCCCCTGGTAGCCTGCATTTCGTTCTGGAAGGCGGGGAATCATCTGTATTTGTCAAACTAAAAATGAACTATTAGAAGGTAATATGAAGTACTGCTGAAATAAAAGGCCTTAAAACAATAATAAATCACTTTTGAGGGAATATGATAAATGAGGCCCAACTAGAATTCAGCTAATGAACCACCGGGGCCTTTGGACAGGTCTACACTAGAAGCGTCTAGGGATGATTTTCGATCTAGAAAGCACACTTTGCAATAATTGGAACAGTTTATGCTGGAATTCGCTGGTGCATTATTAGTGTTCTTCATTTCGGCCCTGTTGACCTAGCTCTGGGGGCGTCTGGGGTGTAAGACAGGGGATTTTCTCATTGATGTCCCATGGTCACCTGTACCAGGCCTGAAAGAGGATTCAAGGGTCTCACTCCATCCCTCCCTTATATCCAGCTCTGACCTCTAAGGAAATCCAGGGACCTACACAGTGGATTCCTGCCAGGCCCTGGGGCCTGATTCCGCCCTCCCTTTGGCCACGCCCTGCGCAGCATAAATGGCCCAGGGCCCCGGCAAATACAGGGCTCACCTCTGGAAGTTTCCCGAGCCACGGAGCCTCTCTTACCTGTCCGACCCATTCCACACACACTCAAATTTATCAAAAATGCAGTCATTTTCGTAGAGGGAGCACAACTTGCTGCGGAGGTAGTCATGTACCTGTGGGGAAATACATCAAGAGGGGCGGTTATTATTTTTAAAATGCTCGTTTCTGTGACGACCCCCTCTGGTGATGTGAGCTGTTAATTATTCCAGTATACATGTGCCTTGAATCGGATGGCCTGGGTCTGAATCCAGGCTGGGCTCTCTGCAGCCATGGGTTGGGGAGCTGCTTATGTGGCGAGTGTGGATGAAGCAAGCTTGCTTAGGGAGCTGGTGGCCGGCAGAAGGGCCCAGTAGGTGGTAGAGTCCCATTTTCTAAACTGACTTGCAAATACACATTAGAGGACACTATTCATTTGGTCTTTAACTCAACAAATGTTTATGGCCTGCCAGCTCTGTGCTTGGGAGAGGCAGTGAACAAAATACCCCTGGTGGGCTTTCATCCCAGCATGGGGGCAATTGAGCGTTCACGTGGGCCTTTTATGGTGAGCGAAGTGAGGAGACGTGGCAGAAAGGACCACTGAGCTGTGTCATGATAATGTGAGGCAGCAGAGGCCAGTGATAGCCTGGTGGCAGATGACGGTGTGGAGCAGGGGGGAGCGAGTGGTCAGCTTCTCGGCATGTTTGCAGGGACAACTGATAGGATTCGTGGATGGTGCAACTGTGAAGCGTGGAAAGAAGAATTCGAGTCAAGATGGCTCCTGGATCTTTCTCTTGAGCAAGCGGAAGGATGGACTTGCCACGTTCATTTTTGGGTATGATAATTTGGAGAAGCCTGTGCAGGTGGAGCTGCTGACAAGACTCTGATGTAAAGGTTGCAGTCCTGGAGCATGGGCAATTCTCTCCTGTTTCTATTTTTCAGTGAAATAAGAAGCAAAGTTCGCAGCTGAGAGTGAGGAAGGGCAGGGGATGCTGGGGAATCATGCGGCATGGCTGGAGGGCGCTGGGGCCCCATGAAGTTGTTGGATGGGAACTTTACGTGAGACCAGTCAGCATGGTTGGGTCATTCACCCTATGTTCCCTGAGATGTTCTGGGGATTGAAAAGCTCTCGGAGTCATGCGGACAGTGCAAGTATTTCTAATGCGGCAAACGACTGTTCCCAAACAGTCCTAGGCCTTGTCAGGGTACCTGCCTCACTGCTTTGGTGACAAGAGAATCCATCTGCGGCAGGGCTTCTGGCATTGTTAGATGGAGAAGGGGACGTGAGGGTGAGGTTTACGTCCCGCACTTGAGACCTATACTGTAACTCCTTGTCGTTCCCTTCCTCTCCTGCCGCCTTTTGGGCCTATTCCAAGTGGCACAAGTCTGATGTAGAAGGCCATTTCTGTTTGTAGGGCTGCAGATCTCTAGTGATTAAGAGTCTTTGAGCAAAGAAGCAGGAGAGAGTCTGTGGGCAAAAAAAGGGGACTGATTCTTGATCCTGACCACTGTTTGGCAAACCTTTTCCAGCAAGGGCCAGAAAGTCAATATTTATGCTTTGTGGGCCATAGGACCTCTGAGGTGACTGCTCAACTCAGCCCTTGTAATGCAAATATAGCCGTAGGTAATGCATAAACAGAAGAGTGGGGCTGTGTCCCAACAGAACTTTACTTATAAAACAGGTGGGGGACAAAATGAGCCTCTGGGTCCTAGTTTTGCCAACTCCAGATCTTTCTTGTCTTTTCTTGACTTCTCATTGACTTGTTCCTGGGTTCTTTGTAATAGAGAGCTGTGGCTTCTGAAGGGCAGTAGGCCAAGCGGGGAATTGACCCAGCGGGCAAGGGAAGCCATGTTTGTTGTTCTAGTATAGGCTCACCTTGAAGATACTGTGGGTTCTAGACCGTGATAATAAAGTGACTATCGTAACAAAGTGAGTTAAATAAACGGTTCGGTATCCCAGGGCATGTAGAAGTTAGGCTTACACTATATTAAGTGTGCAATAAATTGCATTATCTAAAAAAATGTAGATACCTTAGTTAAAAAATACTTAATTGCTGAAAACAAATGCAAATCATCTGAGATTTCCAGCAAGTTGTCCTTTTTCTGGTCGTAGAAGGTCATGCCTCAGGGTTGTCCTGACTGGCCGCAGTGGTGGTTGGTGAAGGCTGGTGTGGGAGTGGCAATTTCTTCAAATAGGACAAAGTGTGCCCTAGCTACGGCCTCTGTCTTTCACAAAGGCTTCTTCTATAGCATGCGGTGCTGTTTGATAGCATTTTACCCACAGCAGAGCTTCTTTCAAAATTGGAGTCGATCCTCTCAAACCTTGCCCCTGCTTTATCAACTAAGTTTATGTGATATTCTAAATCCTTTGTTGACATTTCAACAATCTCTACAGCATCTTCACCAGTAGATTCCAGCTCAAGAAACCACTTGCTCTGCTCATCTGTAAGAAGCAAGTCCTCATCCTTTTAAGTTCAGTCCCATCTGTAGGCTCCACTTGCTCTTTCCACCACATCTGCAGTGGTTTCCTTCATTACAGTTTGGAGCCGCTCAAGCTCATCCACAAGGACTGGAATCAACTGCTTCCAAACTCCTGTGCATGTTGATAGTTTAACTTCTTCCCATGAATCACCAATGTTCTGTTTTTTTTTTTTTTTAAAGATTTTATTTATTTATTTGAGAGAGAGAGAGAATGAGAGATAGAGAGCACGAGAGGGAAGAGGGTCAGAGGGAGAAGCAGACTCCCTGCTGAGCAGGGAGCCCGATGCGGTACTCGATTCCGGGACTCCAGGATCGTGACCTGAGCCGAAGGCAGTCGCTTAACCAACCGAGCCACCCAGTCGCCCGAATCACCAATGTTCTTAATGGCACCTAGAATAACAAATCCTTTCCAGAAGGCTTTGCATTTACTTTTCCTACACCCATCAGAGGAATCACTAGGGCATCTATAGCCTTATGAAATGTAGTTCTTCAATAATAAGACTTGTAAGTTGAAATGACTTCTTGATCCATGGGCTGCAGAATGGATGTTATGTTAGCAGCCATGAAAAGAACAGAAATCTCGTTGTACATCTCCCTCAGAGCTCTTTGGTGACCAGGTGCATCATCAATGAGCAGGTCTCAACCGTGGGCTTCAAATACTCAGTAAGCCATGTTGTAAATACAGTGCAGTCATCCAGGCTGTGTTGTTCCGTTTATAGAGCACAAGCAGAGTAGACTTTGCATATTTCTTAAGGGCCCTAGGATTTTCAGAATGGTAAATGAGCTTTGGTTTCAACTTAGTCACCAGCTGCATTCGCTCCTAACAAGGAAATCAGCCTGTCCTTTGACGCTTTGAAGCCAGGTACTGACTTCCCCTCTATAGCTCTGAAACTCCTTGATGGCGTCTTTTTCCAACTGAAGGCTGTTTTGTCCACATTGAAAATCTGTTGCTTGGTGTAGTCACCTTCATGAATTGTCTCAGCTAGATCTTCTGGAGAACTTGCTGCAGCTTCTGTATCAGCCCTTGCTGCTAATCTTGTGCTTTCAAGTTTTGGAGACGGCTTCTCTCCTTGAACCTTATGAGTACTCTATAAGTGGAACCTCTCCTAGTTTTAATTTTCTTCTGCAGCCTCTTCCCCACTCTCGGCCTTCAGAGAATGGAGGAGAGTTAGGGTCTTGCTCTGGTTTACGCTTTGGCTTAAGGGGATGCTGGGGCTGGTTTGATCTTCTCTCCAGATCACTCAAACTTCCTCCTAAGGCTGTTTCAATGTCTCATCATTCATTTGTTCGCTAGGGTAGCACTTTTAATTCCCTTCCAGAACTTTTCCTTTACATTCACAACTTGGCAGTTGGGCGGAAGAGGCCTAGCTTTCAGCCTGCTGTGCTTTCTACATGGCTTCTTCTCTATGCTTAATCACTTCCAGCTTTTGATTTCAAGTGAGAGATGTGTGACTCTTTCTTTCACATGAACACTTTGAAGCCAGGGGAGGGTTATCAACTGGCCTAATTTCAATATTGTTGTGTCCAGGGAATACGGAGGCCAGAGGAGAAGGAGCGAAGGAAGGACAGGTTGGTGGAGCAGGCAGAACACACACAACATAAATTATTTAAGCTCACCATCTTATATGGGCACTGTTTTGGCACCCCAACACAGTTAAAATAGTAATGTCAAAGATCACTCATCACAGATTGTCATAACATGTAATAGTAATAATGATAAAGCTTGAAAACGGTAAGGTGACACAGACATGAAACGAGCAAATGCTGTTGGAAAAATGGTGCTGGTAGACTTGCTCAATGCAGGGCTGCCGCCAACCTTTAATTAAAAAAAAAAAAGGCAGTATTTGGAAGTGTAATAAAATGAGACATGTCTGTACTCCAGCTCTCCTACTTTTTGGAGAAAAAAATGAGCCAAATAACTCCTTATTTTTCAGCCTTATCTCCCACTTACTCATTCCACTGATCTGATATGGAGCACTTTTCAGGCAAGGCACGGATGTGTTTTGAGAAGGGAGAAACTAGTTTTTAAAACACGGTTAAGCAGGTTTCTGTGATATAGAACCTCTTAGAATTCTACAAGAGTCAGGGAATTGTAAAATTATAAGAAATGGATAGTCATTATTTTATCTCACTATAATCACTAAAATTTGTTTTTTGGCTCAGCCTATGTTCTTCACAAACTTTTCTTGACATATTATTCACCTATATTTCTATAAGACAGAAGGCCAAAGGTGAAAGTTTATAAGTATCAAAACATGTGTGATCTGGACAAGGAACCACATTGCCAAGAACTCCACAAATAATTCTTGAAAGACAAAAGTCAGGAGGGATCGAAAGGAAAATCCAGTCTGAACCAGTATTTTCTCCTCCCAGCAGCTAAATTTGGGGAAGCTCCTACTGCCTCGACTTGATGTCATCTAAAGAAAAGAACATTGACTATGAAGGTATGTTACATTTATGTTCTGTTGCTCAAACAAAAAAACAAAACCTTAGGCAAACAAGATGGACCTATCTCCATCAGAGGAGAGGATCAGGTAAGATACATTGATTAGAAACATCTAGAACACAGAGCAAAACTTAAAACTCACCCAATTTGATGCTTTTTTCTTCATGTTCCAAATATTTGTTGTCCATGTTCCTATTGTGTATGGCTTTCTTGACACTAAATTGAGCCTCCCAGCATAGAGGTTCTCAAATCATGAACTCGTGGAAGCCTGGTGTTGTACATAATGGGACTGCTCATGAGGCCCAGCAAGAGTGAACTCTGTTGGTTGGTTCTCAGACTTCTCTTGTAAAGAGTCACATGGCAGATATTTTAAGCCTGTGGGCTAGATCATCTCTGTCACATCTATTCAACTCTGCCATGGTAGCATGAAAGCAACCATGTACCCATGATTAGGTGTGGCTGTGTTTCAGTAAAACTTTTTACGAAAACAGATGGAGACTGGATTTGGCCCACCAGCCATGGTTTGCCAACCCCTGTTCTGTAGGAGAGCTTGAAAAGAGCTAATGATACTTAAGTCTACAGTTTCTTATTCCTGGAAAGATGCTGGAGACCAGTTGATGCATGTATGAAAATACATGGCAGGAACATTACTTGCTCCCCTCCACAGGGAAGGCATTAGTAACTGGTGATGGATTATTTCCCATTGGGCCAGGCTTCACCATCTTTTTCAACAGTGTTCTAGAAATTCAGAGTTTATTTGCCACCTTTTATATATCGGGGTATAGTATATAAATTTAAATTGCTTTGAAATATGCTATCTAAAGTTAAACTTCTGTAATATTTCCTTTCAATATGTGTGCTATGAGACCTATCTCAAAGCATTTGACAAAGAGCACTTCCACGTCTATCACTAGCTGAACTTGCTTTGAGAATCACGCTCTTAAAATGCTGATTATTCCGTGTCCCAGCTAGCTTACTGGGTTCTAAAACCAGCTTTGCTCTTAAAGCCTTTCTCTAAAATGAAAGTACTAATTGCTCCTGCCACTGAAGAGACTAAATCCAGTTTTCTCTCATCCAGTCTGGTCAGCAGGCCACAACTCTGTCCATACCACCCACACTCAGGTTCTAGTTGCCACTGCCCTCTGTCACACGAGAGGTGTGTGCAGCTAGAAGAGGACCCGCGAGTTGGCTTAGCCCTGGGCTAAATGTGAAGGTGAGAGCCTCAAGGCAGGTGCTGTGAAGTGGGGCCCTGGAGTCCGGAAGGATCTGAGGGACAGGAAGACCCCAAATATATAGGGCAGGCTATTTCAACCACCTATGTCCTTTTGAATTCTGCCCCCTGCATTACTCACAGTTGGTCAAAGTCCTTGGGGTCCTCAATCTTCTCTATTTCTTCTGAAAGATTGGCTCATCCTGTGGCCACTCATGTGTCAAAGTAGGGTGGGTGGGCTCCTTGCTGCTCCAGGCGATGATTCCTGTTCTAAAGCCCTCAGCTCCTTTGAAGTCATGTCACCAACTAAACTCCCCGCTGACTACCTTGTTATAATTAGCAACAGTTCTGAGGCCCTCTGCCACATTCCTTGAGGCAATTTTAGCACCTGGATCCCCTGCCATTATTCTTCATGGATCATTACTCCGGTCGCTCAGTTAGTTGGACTCATCATTTTCAATGTGTTTTTTCCTTTGCTTCCTTGGCCACGTGATGAGACTTGCCACGACCCTAATTATACCTGTTGAACAAGTACTGTTCTAATGCTACCTCCTATCTTTTCAGTTCACTCTTTACTAGCTTGATTCTGTCAATTCTTCAAATCCATTATTCTGTCTACTTTTCTTCACACGTTATTTCCCTCCTTATCTACCTGAGGTTGAGTGGTCCATCATTACAGTCACACCTTAAGTATCTCTCTCCTTCCATTGTACTCAACTGGATCACTGAGCAACCCTGCCTCTCTCTTAGATGCGTATTTTACACTTCTCCTTCTCACTCAGCTAATGACCTTGCTTCTTCTTTTATGAGAAAATAGAAGCAACAAGAAGAAACCATCGATGGCTACCAACACAATGCATCCATAGCTATTTACTCTTCTCTCCTTCCTTTGATGGATGAATCGTCCATCTTCCCATCTATGGCCTACAACACCTGCCTTGAGGCAATGGACTCTGTTCCGTCTTGCTTCCCCCGAGGAGTCAACTGCTTGAATTGTTCTTTCTCTCCTGGCTTATTCCCCTCAGCATAAAACATGCTGTGATAACTTCCTTATGCCTGTATCCCATTCCTGCTACTACCCCATTTCGCTGTTGCCCTTTAGACTAAGATTTCCTGGAAGAGCTACCTGTACTCATTACACTCACATCTCCTATTTACAGTCTCTCTCAAAACCCACTCCAAGCAGACCTTCCTTAATACCATTCACCTACACCTATCTCCTCATTACTAAATCCAACGGCCAATTTTCAATCCTTTCCTACTTGATTCAGTAACAGCATTTGGTAGTGGGTGATTTCTCCTCCTTGAAATAGTCTCTTTACTTGGCTCCTAGAACATTCTTCTCACTTTTCCTCTTCCCAACCTGTAAACACCGGGTTCCCAGGGCATGGTCCTGACCACTTCTTTTCTCTAAGCTAAAGTATACCCAAACTCAAACTGAGCTGTCTACTTGCAATTTCTGGGTGTTTACTTGGCTCTACATGTCCCAAAATAAATCACGGTTCCCTCATCTACATAATTTTCCTAATTGCTCAGGATAAAAACCTTGAAGTGATCCCTGGGGCTTCTTTTCCTCTTACATCACATATCCAATTTGTTGTTAAGTCCTGTTGATTTTACCATGAAAATATATTAAGAATCTGGTCACCCCCATTGCTCACACCCTCATCTAGGCTACTATCAGCACTTGCCAGAATGTTGCAATAACTTGTTAAGTGTTCTATCTCCTCCCATCTCCCCCTCTAGTCTCTCCTCCCCAGCACAATCAGAATGTTAGTGATGAAAATATTCTGAAATTGGAGTGGTGAGGATTCCACAACTTTGTGAATATACTAATGTCGACTTTGAAAGGGTGAATATTACAGTATCTGAATTCTGTCTCAAGAAAAAAATATGTAAGTTAAATCCATCTAAAATTTTCACACCTCTTTTAATCTAAACCAAAATATCTTTAACAAAGACCAGTTTATCCCTGCCTCTTTATCTTTGCTTCTATTGTGCTCTTACCTGAAATGAGCTTCTTCAGATCCTTTCTACCTCAAAGTCTAGTCTTCCATCTTCTAAAAAAGGCCATTGTATTCTAAACACTGCCTTCTCCTTTGTTCCCTTTGTCCATCAATCTACCAACCATTTAGCCAATGCTCAAGCTAACAACTGGCACAGTCTTAACTCTTCTTCCCTCCACATTGAATTGGCAAGTGCACCTCATAGACTCTCCTCCTACCTCTCCCTCCATCTGCATGCCACCATCTCCTCCTGTCATTTCCAGTGTAGAACCTTTTAATGGTTTTCCATTGTACTCAGGCTGAAGACAAAATAACCGAATCTTCTTTACCAGGGCCTACATTTCCAGACTCTTCTTTCTGCCCATGTTCTATATTTAATATACAAATAACTCCTTTCTGAACACAGCAGCTATGAACACACTATCCTTCTGGCTCGTTCCTGGCAGTCAAGGCTCAGCCTTTGGGTCTCTTCTCACCAGGCTGACCGTCCTTGCCTGTGCTCGCAAGCACCCAGTACCATCTCTAGCCTCACTGCCTACTCAATCCCCTATTCATCATTGGGCTTCTCTACCAGTCGGGTCTAAGAGAGCAGGACCATGTCTGCCTTGTGTACCTTTCTATCTACAGTATCCATCCCACATTCAATGCTCAGTAGATACAGGTTAAATGGAATTCAAGCTCCTCCTTATGTACCCTTGTCTAATATCCTATGGCCCTTATAAACTATACCATTTTATTGAATATATATATGATGATGTATGGACTCTTACCCTTGTGCATTGGAAGCCTTTGCAGGCAGAAGCTGATGTGGAGGCCCACAAAGGAAGTGCGTTATTACCTACGGGTGGGTGGTGGTCCATACCTGGTAAGTCTCAATGGGGCGGTTTTCCATGTTGAGATCCCAAACTTTAACGGTCAGATAGTCTCTGGTCATGATATACCTCCCACTGTGGCTGAACTTCACATCCGAAATCGAAGAGATAATTTCAGAGAAAAACGACCTGTTGCTTGGATCTTCAGGCTCTTCAAAAACTGCAGAACAGAAGCAAAAATGAGAGAAAATAAGTACATCCTTATCAACTAACTCTACCATGTTTGGGCCAGCTAGAAAGCCAACACTCTAACTTGGGGTAGAATCTGCAGGATGTAAGTAAGTTACCGATCAAGAACCTGAAAGCAGAAAAAGCAGTCACTGGTTTCTGTATTTTCTATCTCATGGAAGGACTCGCATGGGACCTGTACCATCCAGAGATCTGGCACAGAGTCTCGCCAAGCTCTGAGTCGATGTATCTAACTATTTCACAATTCCCCTGGTCTCTGTGTGTCACCACTCCTGTCAACACCTGGAGTCATCGGAGATGCTTAAACAATGTGTTTATAGCTTTCTTGAGATATAAAATTACATACCATAAAATCTGCTCATTTGAAGTTTATAGTTCATTGGTTTTTTTCAGTATAATCACATAATTGTATAAGCATTGCCACAGTCTAAATTTGAAACTGTTTCATCAACTGACCCCCCCCCACTCCCAAATTCCATACCCATTTGTAGTTACTCCTCATTCCCTACTCCTGCAGCCCTAGGAAATGACTAATCTGTTTTCTTGTTTTATGAAGTTGCCTAATCTGGAAATTTCCCCTAACTGGAATTATACGAGATAGTTTTTCTGTGACTGGCTGCTTTCCCTCAGTATACTGTCTCCATGGTTCATCCATGCTGTAGTATATATCAGCACTTCATTCCTTTTTACGGTTGAATAATAACCCATTGTATGGATATACCACATTTGGTGTATCGATTAAACACTTGATAAATACCTGGGTTTCTACTTTGTGGCTACTAAGAATAATGCTGCTATGAATATTCATGGACAAGCTTGTGTGTGGACATTTATTTTCATATCTCTAGGTCACAGTTTTTAATAGTGGCACTTGGCTGAGCCTCAGTCATATCTTTTGTATATATTGTCCATTTGTTCTGATATCCAGGCACTTATTACTTCTCAGTAGCTTCATCTGATTTCCACTTAAAGGAATGAATGCAAACCTCCTCAGCTGGACAGCAAATCCCATCAGAAGCTGGTGTACTATGTCTATCTACCTTGATTTTGAACTTTTCTGGTTCCAATTGAATGTATAGAATATAGCTTAGGTATATCTTGACCTTACCCATTTCTATGATCTGCCTTCATTGACCCAAATTCTGAGGGACTCTCACTACTCTCTTAGCCTTAAATGATCATTTTGTGGAAGCCCCCTATACTTGGTCTGGCCCACTTGTTTAATAGGACCTAAGGTACTCTCACATTATGATTTAACAATCCTTGCATTTGTTTTTATCTCAACAGCATTGTCAGCTTCTTTCTGGTTTTCCTTTGTACTGAAAGTCTTGCATACAAATGTTCAATAAACATGTGTTGCTTGATTAGAACCACAGCTAGATCCGTGAATGAATTCTTTGCTGTCTGGGGGCTCAGCATGTCTGATGCGGAGTTATATGCAATTGTCCATACTTACCTTTAACCTATAATAATGGTAATTAATTGTGATACCAACACTTGTTAAGTGGAACCATACTCAATTTTAGGCTAAACAAAACATCAGTCTGCAAGTTAACACATCCTCCAGAGCTTTCTCTTTCCTGCCTTCTCAACACACTCAGAGTCAGTATCTAATTCTATGTAGAAAACCTAAGGCTATAACGAGTTATCTTTCAAACCTTCCTGAATTAAACTCTGAGCCAAACCAAAATTCTAATTGTTACTTCACCATTTAAGAGAACCCCCCAAAACCCTCATCAATCAGAATTGAACTTGAGAATTAAACCCACTGAAACAGAAAAACGTCTCGGACTTTAATCAAGCATTCAGGAAGGCCCCTGGACTCTGACTGGTGCCCTCATAATTGAGAACTAGATTTTCACATTAGTTTCTCTTCCAGGGAATCTAATTAGGGCTGGGGACTTACAAACTCCAGGCAAGCCCCATGGCAAACAACTCAATAGACAGGTGGGAGCCCTGAGGCGTGGTCATCTCCTCCTGATGCACCTGCAGTAAATGGGAAGGGATCGGTTAAAAATCCCAACCTTTGTGGGGGAGGATGGCAGAGGAGTAGGGGACCCTATTCCAACCGGTCCCTGGAATTGAGCTGGATATCTACCAGACCACTCTGAACACCCAGGAAATTAGCCTGAGATGTAAGCAGATAGACCTGGGATCTCCACAAACAGAATACCCCAGGCAGTTGGTTTCGAGGTACAAAGTGGGGAGCCGTGATTCTGCGGGCAGATATCGGAGGATAAATGGCAGCGGGAGGGAGCCTGGCCGTGGGGATCCTACACCGTCAGTGAGCAACAGCCTCCTGCGCTGGGGATGGGGCACAGACTCGCAGACCGGTAGCGACAGGTAAAGGACTTTAGGGCAGCCCCCTGGGTGGAAACCCGGAGTGGCAGGGCGATGTGTGTGAATTGGGGGTGGCTGGCGGTTTTAGAAGCACAAAGGGTAGAGAGGAGACCCTACCTGGAGGCGAGGACTGGGACCGCTGCGGAGGGGCGCACAACCCAGGACGCTGCAGTTTATAGCAGCACAGACAGAAATGGAGATAGTGTGGCCTGGAGAGCTCACTGAAGAACAGACTGTGATCTCTCTGCTCTGAGGCAGAGGGTTGGAAATGGTCTCCTCTGCTCTCTCAGAAGAGATGTGGAAAGCCGCCAGGGAAAGCCACCAGAGAATAAAAGCCCCCTCAAAACCGGTTTTCACAGAGCCCATCCCCCACCATAGGGGGCAGAGCAACTCTGCCCAAAGAGGGTTGCCTGAGGAACAGCGAGGCAGACCCCTCCCCCAGAAGACAGGCTGGGAGAACAAGAGGCCAGCAACCCTAAGGTCCCTAGAAAACAGGTGCATCTTGCTTGGGTTGTGGTCAATAATTTGGACTCTATACATTCCCTCAACCACCCATCAACAGAATGACTAGGAGGAGGAACCCCCAAAACAGGAAAGACTCAGAGACTATGACTTATGCCACAGATTTACAAATGGATTCAGATATAACCAAGATGTCGGAGATGGAATTCAGGATAGCAATTGTGAAGACAACAGCTAGAATGGAGAAATCAATTAATGGCAACATAGAGTCTCTAAGGGCAGAAATGAAAGCTGAAATGGCAGAAATTAAAAATGTTATCAATGAGATCCAATCTAATCTAGATAATCTAACAGCTAGGGTAAGTGAGGCAGAAGAACGAATTGGTGACATAGAAGACCAATTAATAGATAAAAAGGGAAGAGAGAAGGCCAGGGAAAAACAACTTAGAATCCAAGAAAATAGAATCAGAGAAATAAGTGACACCATGAAACATTCCAATGTCAGAATTATTGGAATCTGGAATCCCAAGGGGGTGGAGAGAGAGAGAGGACTAGAAGATATATTTGAGCAAATCGTAGCTGAGAACTTCTCTAGTCTGGGGAATGAAACAAACATTCATGTCCTAGAGGCAGAGAGGACCCCTCCTCCCAAGATCAAGGAAGACAGGCCAACACCCCGGCATGTAATAGTAAAACTTGCCAATCTTAGAACCATCTTAGAAACCATCTTAAGGGCAGTTAGGGGGAAGAGATTCCTTACGTACAGAGGGAGGAACATCAGAATAACGTCAGACCTATCCACAGAGACCTGGCAAGCCAGAAAGGCCTGGCAAGACATACTCAGGGTACTAAACGAGAAGAACATGCAGCCAAGAATACTTTATCCAGCAAGGCTGTCATTTAGAATGGATGGAGAGATGCAGAGCTTCCAAGACTGGCAGAAACTGAAAGAATATGTGACCAGTAAGCCAGCCCTGAAAGAAATATTACAGGGGTTCTATAAAAGGAGAAAGACCCCAAGAGTGATATACAACAGAAATTTACAGGGACAATTTATAAAAACAAGGTCTTCACAGGCAACACGATGACAATTAATTCCTATCTTTCAATAATCACTCTCAACATGAATGGCCTAAATGCTCCCATAAAACGGCACAGGGTTGCAGACTGGATAAAAAGACAGGACCCATTCATATGCTGTCTATAAGAGACTCATTTTGAACCTAAAATTACATACAGACCGAAAGTGAAGGGATGGAGATCCATCTTCCACGCCAATGGACCTCAAAAGAAAGCTGGGGTAGCAATTCTTGTATCAGACAAATTAGATTTTAAACTAAAGACTGTAGTTAGAGACACAGAAGGACACTATATCATTCTTAAAGGATTCTATCCAACAAGAAGATCTAACAATTGTAAATATCTATGCCCCCAACATGGGAGCAGCCATCTATACAGGCCAACTGTTAACCAAAATAAAGAATCATATTGATAACAATACGCTAATTGTAGGAGACCTCAATACTCCGCTTTCAGCAATAGACAGATCATCTAAGCAGAAAATCAACAAAGAAACAAGAGCTTTGAATGACACACTGGACCAGATGGACCTCATAGATATGTACAGAACACTCCACCCTAAAACAACAGAATACTCATTCTTCTCAAGCGCACATGGAACTTTCTCCAGAATAGACCACACACTGGGTCACAAATCAGGTCTCAACCGATACCAAAAGACTGAGATTATTCCCTGCATATTCTCAGACCATAATGCTTTAAAACTGGAACTCAATCACAAGAAAAAATTTGGCAGAAAATCAAACACTTGGAAGCTAAAGACCACTCTGCTCAAGAATGTTTGGGTTAACCAGGAAATCAAAGAAGAACTTAAACCCAAACAAGAATGTTTGGGTCAACCAGGAAATCAAAGAAGAACTTAAACAATTCATGGAAACCAATGAGGATGAAAACACATCGGTCCAAAACCTACGGGATACAGCAAAGGCGGTCCTAAGGGGGAAATACATAGCCATCCAAGCCTCACTCAAAAAAATATAAAAATCCCAAATTCACCAACTAACTCTACACCTTAAAGAACTAGAGAAAAAGCAACAAACGATGCCTAAGCCATGCATTAGAAGAGAAATAATTAAGATTAGAGCAGAG